TCCTGCTGCACAGTTGACAAAGAGCTGTTGGGTTGCACATTGCTGTGATGCTCTGGTTTCAGGCACCCAAATGAAATCACTTGCCTATAAATGCCTTTTCCTTAATTTCTTTAAATCAGCCTAATTTTCAAAGACATTTGGATAGAAAATGGCAATGGTTCTTTTCGTAACTGTGGCTCTTGAATAGCGTAGTCCCATCCTTTTAGCTTTGCTGTGCTTTTTCCTTCCTTGCACTGAATCACGAAGGGAAAAGTAGATCAAGGTAGGTAACACTCAGTGTCCGAACACTGCTAACATCTGTGACCAGAAGTAGATCGCATTAGCTAGTGGTAGAGTAGAACCTGATGCTAGTTAATGTTGTGCTCCTCTATACCCAGGTAAAAAGTAGTTTTGTTGGTGATGGGTGTTACCTGTTTCTCTGGTTTATTTGCTTTCGGTTCGTCCTTGCATTTGGTTGTGGGAGCAAATAGGAAACTAACATGAAGCTTTTTTATACAGATACAATGTAGCTTTAATTACAGGCTAAGCACATTTTGCTATGTTAAATTTAATCTTTCCTTTTTCTGTTTTTTTCATAGCTGATTCTGATAGTGGTGACAAATCAAATGTGAGTACCTTTTTTGCGTCGTTTGGTTTAGAGATACGTGTTTAGCAAAAGTGAATTTTTTGTGCAAACTGTCTTGTAACATCCCCAAATCAGGATGACAATTTTTTTCTCATGGAAATGGGAGAGAAAAAATACAACCCAAATGAGAACATGGTCTGAATCTGGAATTTATGCATTCTCCTCTTATTCAGAGGGAACCGTAGCTATACAGTACTTGGTTGCTGGAGCCACTAAAGCTTGACAATCTTGAAATAATATGTAACTCTAAATTATCTATGCTATTTTAAATGCATAGAAATTAGAGGAGACCACAATTCTACTGTCTCCTCAATGGAAAAAAAAAAAGTACCACAAATACTACTCTGAAGTACACAGTATTTCATATTCTCTTTGTCACATAAAAATAGACATCATCTCTTCATATCAGATTGAAGTACAACTCTTAGTGGAAAGGGATATGACATCAAGTGTCTAAAATGGCCCTTGATTATAAGGATTTTAAATATGATTCATGTAAGGGATCCTTAGTGAAGCATGAGATTTTATTTCATTATGGATAAAAATTTGAAAGAAGGCTACAGGCTGTTGTGGTGGCAGCCATACGAAATGAGAGAATATTTTTTACAATCACAAATTGCTTTGCGTGTTGCGCAGAAGATTATAAAGAAGCAAAATAGATTATTTTCCTTAAATTTGAGTACCTGCAGGTATCTCTGTTCAGTGCTGCTTAGAGCTTTCTTTCAGATCTTTTTGCTTTTTTGCCCTCCAGTTAAAGTTTTCCAAGCCTTTCTTTGCAAACTAAATGATTGTTTTATCATTTGGATACCTGTGGGCAGTCCCAACTGTCAATGAAGCTAAGAATATTGTCTCCTGATAGAACCATTATCTAGTTCTCAATTTCCCATTTTAACATCCTCGCCAGGGGTAGGCCAGGTGAAGTACAGCTTTCTCTGATAGCCTTGTGAAGTGTAGTGTCAAAGTCTAATAGCTTGGTTTTCCCTCACGCAAGCGTTTCAATTTTTGGTCCTGGGATCCAGAAGAAGAGCGAAAACGCCAAGAAAGGTGGCAGCATGAGCAAGAACGCTTGCTTCAGGTAGGGGAGAAACTACATGTCTTCCACCATGTGGTTCAGCTGTTGAATTGTCCCTTTGGACAAAAGTTGGGCATTTTGTGTTACGTTTTCCACATCCTCTGTGGATGCTTCAGCAAATCCTGTGGCAGAGCAGTGACAAAATGAGCATACACATATGTTCTCTGTAGTTTGGGCACTCCTACGTCTCCCTTCCCCACTCCATGGAAAGACCAAAAGGACTTAGTTCTGCATTCCAGTGCGGAGTTAAACCAAGTGTTGATCCTCAACTATATTTAAAGTATGTTGAGCATAGACTGCGAGACTCTTAATTACCTGGAGCCTCTTTCTCAAGACTGACAGTTTGCTGACCCTGATGCCTATGCAGCTCTTCTTTAAAATTATGATCTTAATAGATTTTCGTAGACTTATGCTTTGTTCATGGCTTCTTCTTGGAAAGCATCAAGCTAAATTTGGACACAAAGGGTTTGGGATTTTTTTTGTGTGTGGGAGGGAAACCCCCTCAAAACAACCACTGGTGTTGCCTAGTGGTAGAGTAAGCTGTAAAAGGTCTGCATTCGTGTCCTGATTTAAGAAGTGCACTGGCCCTGAAAACTTGCATTTCCCTGTCAGTCAGTAGTGTCTTTTGAAACAAAGAAATCGTATCTTTCCTGCATGTGACAGATTAACAAACAACTATCAAAGGATGGAGAATAATAAAATGGAGTCTTTTCGTCTGTTCAGAATGACTTGTGTGTCTCTCTACTGCTTTCTTGAGATTATTTCTTTTTAGCTAATATGATTGTTTCTTCTTAAAATGGTGTAAAATTCTCATCATAATTTTTCTGGCATATATGGGCGTTCTCTCAATGGTAAATGCATCTCTTCTGGATTAGACAGATGTGGTCTCTAATTTGAACAGAAGTTGGAACAGATGTAAAAGGGATATGGAAGTCACCATTCTTCCCCATATTCAAACCAGTTCTGTCAAACAATTTTCAAGATCTCTTTGGGGTGATTTTTCGTGCAAAACTGTGTGAGAACAGTTCTCAAGAAATAATTCCATTAAGGAGGAAAATAAGCTACTTAGCCAGTTATGAATTTACCCTCTTCAAACCTTTACACACTATTCATTCATCTTCTAAACTTGCACAGGTAATCATCATTCATTAAATTGTACTCACCTCTCTCTTAAATTAGTACCAGTATCTGCAAAACCTGCTTGTTTACATGCTACTTTGCTGAAGTTTTTAATGTAAAATCCACGCCTAAGTGTTTTGGGGTGTGTGATAGCATTTTGGAACTCTTAATACTGTATAATAAACAAGGAATTATTGAAATTGTTGAGCATAAATTTAATTTCTGACCAAAGATTTTAAAACTTCTAACAAATTAAACTTCTTCTAGTATGTTAAAAGTTCCTCATGGTTTGAAGGTCTTAAATGTAAGGGCTAGAAATAGGTAGGGGAAGGAGGAAAATAAGCTTTTTTTGACACCCGTGGATGTTTCAGATTTTTATCTTCCTATTTCATCCTGTTTCTGATTAAACGACTCTTAGCAGGTTCATTGTCATTGTGGAGATGCTACAAAATTTACTCGTGATACAGAATGCTCTGAATTTACCTGTATTTGTATTCTCTTACAGGAGAAGTACCAGAAGGAGCAGGACAAGCTGAAAGAGGAATGGGAAAAGGCTCAGAGAGAAGTTGAAGAGGAGGAGCGTCGATACTACGAGGAGGTATAAGGCTCAAAGGAGGAGGTTGTTTATTGACTTTTTTTGTATTTAAATGCACCCACTTATGCCACTAAAAAAACCCCATACCTAGATTAATTAATGAAAAGCCTTCTCAAGGCTGAATTCTCAGGAGGATTGTTTCTCTTAAACACTACCATGGGCACTGAGGAAAAATCTTTAAATATTTAGACAGATATCCTCAGAACCTCTGCATAGGTGGAGGTGTCTAATTGCTGTGCAAGTCTGGGTGAGTCAGTGTGGTTGTGTCTGGGTGAGTCAGTGTGGTTGTGTCTGGGCACGCTCAGACTTCCCTCCGGAGGCAGAGCCTTGTGCGTTTTGGCGTATATTTGATGCCTGGACTTGGTGGAACTCCAGGTGAAATTTTTGTCTGCCTTGGGCTTGATCATGTAGATATTTTGTAAACTGGCCTTGTTTTTAAAAAAAATCCACAGGAAATGTTCAAACTTGCAGTTGTAGAATATTAACAATGTAGAAGACAGTGGTTTTCTTCTGTCGTATGTGGGTCATTATTGCAGGAAATTGGAAAATATTAATGTTTTCATTTGACTAGTGCGTTATGCAAATTGATGTCTTATCATCTGTGCTTGAGGGCCATACTTGTGATTTGAACAAGAAATTTTTTTTCAACTTTCAGAATAAGTTTCTCGTGTACCAAGTGTAATTTCATGTTTTTATATGAAATTTAATACACTGGTGTTGTGAGAAACAGTGGTGCCATCCCAAGTGGAATATTCTCTCCCGTTTTGGACATCCCATCTCAAAGACGGTAATGGTGAAAGGGAAGGGAGTGCAAAATCTTGAAGCAAATTAAAAACTGAGGTGTTACCATTATTCTTGGTACCACAGGTCCTTACCTCACCATCTAAACATGAGACGTAGCCAAACTTTATGCTTCTGCTTCTTAAGGTCATAGTTGACATTCTGTATTTTTAATCCCCACTCTCTCCTGATCCTCTTTTTTTAGGAACGTAAGATAATTGAGGATACTGTAGTTCCATTCATTGTTTCTTCAAACTCTGCTGAGCTCCTCTCCTCCTCTTCCTCTGCTACTGAAGGAAACAAGACAGCGGTGAGTTTCTCGTGGAGTAGTAAGGCAATAAAGACTAAGCCATCTTCAGTGCAAAGTTTCATTCTTCACTAAAGGCTAACAAAGTCTGGGAGCAGTAAGAGTAAGAGTATTCCCTGCATCCTTTCCATAACTGGTGATACCTCAGAGTACTGTAGCTTGTGTATTTTTACACCTGAAGAGTCATACTCCCAAGCAAACTGCTATCATCCCATTTTGGACTAGAGCAGGTGATACTTTCCCTCTTTGCAGCTGCTTGTCTTCTTTAACTGGTGCTGTGAAAAAACAGTCACCTGTTTCTGTTTGCTTTAACTACCTTCTCAAAGCCAAGAAAATCTGAAGTGATTGCCCTGCATCCAAAATCTTGAGAGTAAGACAGTGCTTTAAGCATATCTGAGATGAGCCTGAACCCTGCCTGCCCACTTTTCCTCCTTTTCTCTCCCACCATCCCTCCTAGAAAGCAGCAAAACAAACAGAGCAATGTTCACTCTCTGATGATTTTTTTTTTTTACTTATGCAGCACAAAATGTTTAACTCAATGCATCTAGCATCTAATTAAGTAAGTATTTGCCAGAGATCAGAGAATGACACCCCAAGTGAGATCAGTAGAGTAAATGTGGGATTCCCAGACATAATTTTCTCCTGCCTAAGGCACTCACACCCAAGAAGTCATCTGCCTTTTTCCATTCAACCCCAGGATTAGGAGTACTGTATCGTCTGGTTCTCCCCTCACCCTTCCTGCCCCCTCTTATCATTCATCCCTGTGCAGGGGCATCAGCCATGGCCCATTTTCCACACGGCTATGTAGCAGTAACTTCCTGGGTGGAATTGCTTATGCCACGTTCAGGGCAGTGCCTGCACCCAGAAGTGAGGGATCTCATGCCATGGCTTATGAAAGCTCCACCAGTCAGGTATGACCCACTCCAGTACCATTTTGGAAGTAGTACTGGTGTTGCCTTTTGAGGATGCCCAGTGCATATGAGTAATGCTTTGCTCCCAGGCAGAGACAACAAGCTGAGGTGCCTCACAAAGTCCTCCCAAGTCCAGTTGGAGACTGTCTAGACTCTCAAAGTCATTCAAGGATTTCTGCCAAAAATAGGTGGGAAATTTTAGTCATCCTGAACACCATCTCGTAATTGGTCCATCCCTAACTTTTTTTTCACACTCAGTTTAGTTCAATTACTTGATTATTTCAGCTCAAGTCTTTGTTAAATCCAAAGTTAGCCTTACCGAGGTCGAATGATTCCACTGTATAATGTGAGATGTTCTTTATGATAATAAGGTGTGTCAACACAATGTATCTGCGGGCAGCCTGTGCTTTTTCTGTGCATGTGCTGATGCTGAATTCAAGGGAAGGTCCTTGTTCCCTCCCCTTCTGTCTTCTAGAGCTCAACTGATTCAAACAGCTCTCCAGAGGAAGGCAGACAAAAAGAAGTTACAAGGCAGAAAAAGCTTCTCTGGGAGCAGGACAGTATGCCGTCTCGGACAAGCAAGGATAATGAACTCTGGCAAGAAAAGAGGAGGTATGGATCAAGCCTGAGCATTTCTTAGCCCTGTGGAGCTATGTGTTGCATAGACATCTGGGATGTCACATAAGCCCGTGATTGATGCTGGAGCATCAGCGTCTGGTGGCCTGGTGATAGGTGTACTATATCCCGATCAATATTCACTTGCCACAGGCTTATGTGTATGTGGCAATGTGCAGTGCTAGTTGTGCATATCAGAAGGCTTGCCTTTTCAGTATATGACTTTGCCAAGAGGCTGTCACATCAACCAGATCAGAGCTTAGATAGCTCAGACTTCTCTGTATGTCACTGCACTGTGTCTTGTGTACAAGTTTCACAAGGCATGTGGAGGAATAAAGGAGCAGTAGCTATTTTCACTCAGAATCTGTGTGAGATTGCCTGGCTATCTCAGAAGTGCCATACCCAAACTTGCTAGGTGGTATTCAAAGTCCTGGTTCTTTGCCTAGCTGCTAATAACAGCTTTCACAAAGACGAGAAGTATCTGATGGTGCTGAACACTTTATAGAGACCCTAAGAAAAGCTGTTTCTCTGTCAAAGAAGCCATTTTCCATAAGTCCAGGATGATCTTTAGTGTGTCTGAGTGGCAGTATGTGAGATAAGCAGGAAGACTTGGCATATTTGGAGACAAACTTCTTAGTTTATTACAGTTATCCTCATTGCTTTGTCATTGCTGACACAATAACAAAAATCTTTCTGCAAAAAATAGACTGACGTTCAAAAGTCTTGATTTGGCCATTATATTCTAAGTGGAATTTTTCCTGGCTTTATTTATACAATGTGACTTATTTTTATTGGCAGTGGAAATAAAGTGCTCTCAGGACACTCGGAGACGAATATCTTGAAAGGAGGTGAACAGGAGCATCAGGTGCCAGTGATGGAACGCAGCTCGCCTGCCAGACTGAATCTGCCGTTGACTCAGGGTGAGAGTCAAGACTCTTCATGTGCATACATTCTTTTCCAGATAGAAATCTTGCAGAAATCTAACTGAAAGAGTTTTGGAAATTGACAGTACACATATATCTTCAAAATTTGAATGTCTTAGACTCAAATGTTTTCTGTTAGCAAAGATAAATATGTTAAGGTGAAATTTAACATCTCCCTGTTTTCATCATAGGTGAGCGTTTCAGCAGGTAGGAATCTTGTTTATAGGCCTGCATGTTCACATTAGTAGTTAAACACTGTTATCTTCTATCTTTTACATAATCTTACATACATATATGATTTATCTTGGTACAGAGAGCATATTTTCAACACTTACTTTGTGTTTTGACAGCTAATTAGATTCTTTATGTCCGTTTCAGTCCAGTAAAAATCACTACCTGTGACATGTAACCTTTTTGAGCCAAGTCTAAAGTGACACCTGTCTCAGTTTTGTCATTAGAAATGTCTGATGACATTTTAAATTAATAGATCTTAAGCTCCCATAAGCATTGATGTTTTTTCAATGAAGGAATTTCCCCAAAGCATTGCAGTCAACAGGGTCACCCTAGAAAAGGCAAATTCACTAATTTAGCATCGTTATCTAATGCAGGTGAACAGTGGAAAGTAACTAGGTAGGCTAAAGACAGAAAGCAACTGTAGTTTTTGAAATTGACTTTTTGATTTTTGTTTTCAGTCTAGCATAAAAATGAATTATTCTGAAAAATGAAACATCTATTGATAGAAAAGGTTTCGGTGTTACTACTTGCTCCAAATGCAAATTCCGTTTATTAAAGTTAACAGGTTTGCTTTCCCTGTCTTGATTTTATTGTATTCTTAGTGCTTTCATAAAAGTTGCTCAGATAAAGAAAGCGGAAGATACAGACCAGCAATCCATCCTTGTGGATTTGTAGTAGTGATTAAACAAACTTCAAAGGTTTGACAGGTTTTAACTACTTCTGCTAATCAGGGTTTTTCTAGGTTCTCTTGAGCAACTTGGTCCCCTACAAGTATTCTGACAGCTCCTTTCTTTCCCCTTAAAGCATCACATCCTTGCTCTCTTCTTAAGTCCTTAAATGGTCAGGACTACGTTTCTGTTGTCTTAATATCACAAATAGATAACAGGCCTTTCATAGGCCCCAGTAAAGTTTTTCTTCTCTAAACCGGCTGGTTGATGCACGGCAGGGTAAGGCTCTTCCCCAGCCTGGGAGCCACAAACTTCATCTGGAAGGATCCAGGTAGTGTGCTCTGTCTCAAAGATGGGATGCTTGGCTGCCTGGGCATCACACAGATCACTGCATATTGCTGGGAGGCTGTTACTGTCACTGAGCCTTGTGCCACCATCTGAAACGCAGGAGGAAATTACAAGGGAATTACTATTTATCAGTAGGCTCACAGAGAGCGATGACTACACCACCTTCCTCTTAACTCTTGCTATTGAGAAGTTTGGATCCCCAGGCACCACAGAAGTTTCAGCCTCTCTGGTGCTTCCTTCCTTACGACAGAAATACTTTATTTTCCCAAGTGCTATTCGTGAATGGCTCTTTGACCTCACCCTTTCCTCCTTCAGAAACTGAGATTCAGCAGCAGGGTATGTCGTGTGTATGTGAAAGTAATGCAGGAAGATGTTGTTCCATAGGGGTTTTCTGGGGTAGCAGAGCCTGTCTCTGACTTTGTGTGGGGTTTCTGAGAACTTATTTTTAAGTAACGGTACTTATCTTGTCTCTTTTATAGTCTGTCCACAAGCTATGCTTGTTTATAAGTATTTTATAAGTATTGACAAAAGCATTTTGTCTTAAGTATTGAGATTTCTCCACCTCCCGTTGTAGATGTCTCCTGGAATCAGCAGTTGCTGACAAAGCAGTCCCCGCATTGCACAGAGGATGTTCGGCAGAGACCGTTCCTGGGCCAGAGTGCAGGACAACAGCCGAGCTCTGCAGGGGAAACGAAGAGGTGAGAATGTAAAATAAAGGTTATTGCAGAGATTGAGAAGTCCTACTTGCTCTGTTCTCCCTTATATTCCTACTCAACTTTCTTTATTGGTTAAGTTTCATGGGTAGTCCTGCAGTGTGAAGACACCTTTGATTCCTGACTTTCCCACCAGGACTGCTAACATTTATCCACTTAATTTCTTATTACGGGTACCCCAGAAACTAATTTCATGAGGGAGCACAGCCCCTGCTTGCCATTTTCTGTCTTCTTTCTGCTTAGCTCTTCAAACTCATCTGAGTAGCTGTTCACATGCTTCATTTGTTTTAAGTGCCTGAGACAAGCAGCTGAACGTCAGGGTGGCAATGTCAGCTGAAGTCTGCCTCTTTGAAGTTGGTATCCAAGAGCTCATTCCCCAACTTCCAAACACACATTGATTGCCACTTTCTAAGGATATAGCTTTTAAAAGAAGATACATAGAGATTAGTATTTTCTTTCTACTGTGAATTTTGGTGAGGTTTTTTATCTCTGATGCTTTGCCTTGTGTTTTTGAGTAAGCGTTACTAAAAGGTAACGCCAGTTCTTTTGGTAAACAAGGGATCTGCTTACCTAATATTTGCGAAAAGTGTATCTATGTAATGAGAAAGGAACATCTGTTTTCATTAGCATATATATGAACACAGCCTCCTGCAAAATGTTACCTCTATGAAGCTTGTATACAATCAAAATTAATGTAGATTGAGGTTTGATTACCTGTTCCTCATAACGAACTGCTGGTGTGCATTTCAGAAAATTGTTATTTAATCTGTAAACAGCTTTAAGCAGTGCGAGGTTGAATCAATCCCATGATTTCTGATAACAAAAAAACATGCATGGTTTTTCTCACCAAATTCTTGCAGGGTAGAATGGACACAAATAGTAATAAACCACTTTTCAGTGTTACTGGCTTCCTTTTTGCGCAGTAAAGGGCACAGACCCTCTGTCAACAGCCCTACACCTGCTCTACCAGTGTGCTTGTGAGCATGTCCCCTGGCCAACAGAGAGTACAAGGTGGTGTGCCTTGGCTTAACCCTCCTTCATCGTGGGGGTGCTCTGTTGGGTTGATGGGTGGGTAGGAGTCTGCGTATGGCTGATTACCTGGTGAGTTACCTGACTGAGCAATAGCAAGCAGACCAAGACTCAGAACCAAAAAATGTGTGCTATTTTTCATTGTGTCAAAACGGCAATGGACAGCAAATTTATACCTTCTTTTCCTTAGATAAAATCTTTAGAGCTGGGAATCCTGAAATCCACCAGCTGGAATTTCTCCATACAAAACCTGTTTTTAATTGTTCTTCAGCTGTAGTAATGCATCTTCTCTCCTGTGTTTCAGGGCAGGCTATCATGAGAATTTCCGATCTGGGCCGTCGTCTCCCTGCTCTCCTGCTGCTCCGAGTCAGTCACCCAACAGGTACAAAAGGTCGATAAGGAATTTTGCAGACCAAATGCATCTTGTAGTCACTGATGAACTGCCGCAGTGTAAATCACATTAGTATTGTCTGGATGCACTATTAATTCTTCTAAATGTTGCAATTCATAACTGTCCATGGAATAAACATGTAGCTCCCTCTCCCATATTTCTTGCCTACTTCAGCAGTACTGTTATGTTTTCAAATAACACAGTTCACAAAGCAGCCGTAGGACTCTGCTTGATCATTGAAATTTCAGTGAAATTGAAATGGGATGATACAAGCCCCACTCAAAATAGGTAGTTAAGCATGAGTTCAGAGCACTTAAGTCAAAGGATGTTATCTTCATTGTGAATAGTCACATGCTTGGGAGTAAGGTATGTTCTAGACATTGTCACATTTCAACACTTGCTGATTTAAAAAGAAATCCTTTCCTTAATTTCCAAACTTGAAACACATTTTGCTTTTTTTGCTGCGTTTTTAATTTGCTTACATTCATGCTTATCTCCTAGAGGTTTGATTCTCTCAGTCAATGAGCTGTGCAGCTTTCAATGAGATATGTGTACCAATGCTAAATAAATGTTAACTGTAGTCTGATTGAATCACTGATAATTTGGGGTGTATTAAAATCAGTTGCCTTATTAAATAGGGTAAAGTAATACAACACAGAAAACATAGCAAATTTTTCTTCTATTTAAATAATGTTTTTCTTCACATTTCATAGCAAAGCCGTCCTTCCAATGCCACTTGCATTGACATGAAACTATTGGAAATTTTTTATGTGAACAATTTCTTCTGTTTTTTCTAATTGTAGCTGCAATTTTGGTGGGATTGCAGATCATTTCTTGCTACAGGTAGCTAGTTGTGAGAGTGACTTCATATTATTTAGCAGCTGTATTCTGATCTAAGACCCTTTTCCAAGATCTTTTCCTGAAATAAATCTTAGTTTTGGAAACAATGGATGGGATGTAATTCATTGCTCCACTAAAACATTAGAAAACTTCCCTTAAAAAACTTCCCAGAACATTTTATTCTTTGATCCAACACTTTAACTTGTCCTTATAATAACTCTGATAGTGTAGAAGAGGTGAAAACAAAGGTGGACTCAAGAATAATGTAGAGGGATGTGAGCAGAAGGCATAGAGTTGTAGAGGAGGAGAAGAAACCAGAAAAGTTATTCTAAAAGGAGTAATGAGAACAAAGCAACAAGACAGTGATGTGCCTGTGCTGTCAGTGTACATGGTGGGATAAAGAGTGATGGGCTTGGGAGCGACAGAGGCTAGATGGAAGCAAGGATGGTTTTTTGGTTGTGATGAGTCTTTCTGCTGCTTCTGTCTCTCTGTCTCCCCCCACCACCCCCCCCCAAAATGGCTTTTTTTATCGTGATGCAGTCCAGGTGTATCTCTGTTGGTCACTTATTATGTTGTTGCACCAAAACCATAAAGCAAGATATTGTAAACTTGCTTATCTGTGTACAATTTCATTAAACCATCTTTTCAAAACTCATGAAGTATCCCAAAGTTTCTCTCCTGGTTTCAGCCCTGGCTGAAAAAAGCATGGATGACACATAATGACAAGGGATCCCCTTTGGTCTCAGGTTCATCTCACTAGACAAACATCAGTTCTGGCAGGCTGGCAGACAGGTGAGAAGGGAAGAGTGTGAAACACATGGAAGTGTGCACCTGCACTGCTATTAAAACCATTATGAAAAAGGGTACCAGTTATTCCTGGGCCCCTGATCTCTCACGCAGCTGTCATTAAACAGGTGATTTACTAGAAAGGTCTAGACAGGACTGAAGCTTAAAGAGAGAGTTGAAGTATTTTTGCATTGCAGATGGAGATCTGATTTCAGCTTTACTCTAACTAGTTGTAATACTAACAGGCACGTAGCTGCAGCAGCATAGACTACCATTAGTTAGCAAGTACCTGGTGCCTGGTCTGTGCTGCTGCAGTTAATGCTGCTACTGTTGACTTTGCCACCTTGTTTGGGTGTAAGAGCAGCATCCCTACCTTCTGACTTGCAGTAAGCAAACCCATTTGCAAACAAATTGAAAAATTTCCAGGCTGAGAGTCTGACTCGGGTAATTTGTGCGAATACCTGCTTTGATTGCTGTGGCATTGACTAGGTCTAGGTAATCCACAGGCCTGGTTCCCTGTCACCTGGGCCTCTGTTACGAGGCTTGCATCTCCCTTGATCTAGCACAGCAGACTGGAAGGGAAATGGGTCTGAGCTGCTGTGCATTCAAGCATTTTAAGTCCTCTGCTTTGCTTGTCTGCAAGGCAGATGTGCAGGCTGATTCAGCAACATGCCTGAAGGGTCAGTGTGTATTTATGTGAAATCCCTCAATGTTCCTTCCTCCCATCCTGGCCCTGTCTGTAAACCTGTGTAAACATTTGACCACATTTTAGCATCAGTTGCTGTTCTGTGTTCTTAAAATCATGTTTGTCTTCTAGGTCTGTCAGCGGAAAGAAGCTTTGTTCTACCTGTGGGCTTCCTCTTGGAAAAGGAGCTGCCATGATTATTGAAACGCTCGGTCTTTATTTCCATATTCAGTGCTTCAGGGTATGTTTCTTGATTTATTAAGAAAAATCTCAAGTCATGCACAGTGCAAGGGGAGAGTACGTTGAGGGCTGTAGGTGTCAAATTGAAAATGGAAGGAACAAGGGATTTGTATGTTTGTTATGTATGTTTGTGTGTGTGTGTGTTTGTAGGTAAGTGGAAGTAATGCAGCTAATATGTTATTTTGCTGTCAGACATGTTAATTGGACTAAAACCTGTGATTTAGCAAGCAAATTTAGCTTCCTCGCTTACAGAAGGAAGCATCGTATCATTTCGCTGTTGTACTCATTGCTTTTTAAATGTAACATTAATTATCTTGTGATTTTTTTTTTTCTTTTTTCAAAAACCTGGTCAGCCCCAAAGCCATCTTTGGTCTGACCCATTGTTGGAAAGCTTTGACAATGGAATGGATGATATATTCTGGCTTTCACCAGAGCTCTCGACAGAAATACTTCTTGACTGTTCTTGAGTGTTTCAGTCTGGAAATTACTCAAGATAGTGTTTTCTAGAGAACTCAGAAAGTGTCCATTTCCATTATCTCTGACCCAGTCAGTTTTATAGACATTGGTGAAACCTTTTTTGGTTTTAGACATTTACTCAAACTAAACCTCTGACCTCTCTAAGCTTTGCTCATCACAAATGGGCTGGCTCCAGAATGCAACATTAAAATCAGATGTCCCTTAAAATCACTAGACTTCACTTCTGTGTAAGTGGAGGCTGGTGAAATCCAATCCTAAATACTGTTGGCTCTAAAACAACCTTTCACTGATTTGCAGTGCTCCCCAGGAGTACGGGCTGGGTTCTGGAGGGGTATTTTTTCTCACTATTCCAAGAACTATTGAAACAAAAAGTCAAAATTTGGGAAGAGTTGTGACAGTAGGGCATGGTCTCTCTTACTTTCTCTGTTCTTCATTTGACAGTGTGGCATTTGCAAGGGACAGCTGGGAGATGCAGCAAGTGGGACAGATGTCAGGATTAGAAATGGTCTCCTTAACTGCAACGATTGTTATATCCGATCCAGAAGTAAGTACTAAATCCTTTCTGCAGGACAATGAACTCTTTAACAGTACTGTTGCCATGATTTTGACTTACGGGTTTGTCTCCTCCTCTTTGCCACTCAGGCATAGCTTCACCATGGGAAAGGGAACCTTCCCATGCCATTTTAATCATCGCCTTTTATCAAAAAAGATTTCCAAGCCCATTAAATCTTGCCCAGAGGGTCTCTACTTAGCAGTATTAGACTTAAAGACTGTTTCTGTGCATAAATATGAACTCCTACACTGTGCACACATACTGCATGTCCTGGGGACTTGGATCTGTCACATCACATGAGACAATGTAGATACTTCTACTAGGTGTAGGACCCTGGGCATTGTTTGGAGAAGTTCCCATTTTTTGTGTCTCCAGGCATCCCTTTGTGGACAAAATGGTCATGTAAAATATTAGGAACATCCTGTAACTCATAATGAATCCTTATGGTGGTATCCCCAGACATGTGCTAAAGTGTTGCTTGCTGCAGGCTTTGAAGAATGAGCCAGACAACTGCATGTCAGAAAAAAACGATGCCTTTTTCTACCTTAGAGCAGCTCACTCGAATGTCCTTCTGAGTCCTGGATTTCTGTGACTGATACCAAATTGCTAGAGCATTTCAGCTTCACCCCGATGTCACCAGTGGTTTGAGATGGGCAGTGCTCATGCTGGCTTCTACTTTGTGGAAAACAGTAAAGTGCAGGAAAAGACCACGAGTGTAATCATTGCCTTCCTGTTACCCGCTAATGTTGAGTATTATTCACTGCCTATAGTCCTAACTGATAAATGGAGATATAGAGCTCTTTTCACTTACTGTTTTCCTTCTCTCTCAAAAGCAGTGGCTGTAGAAATCCAGGAGTAGGAAAGGTACCTGCCTACCCTTGCCAGCAGAAGAACGGATCCTTTTTTTTCTTTGATGTTTCAGGAGAGAGATATTTCCCCATCAGCAGAGCTAGAGGGTGCTGTTGTATAACCGTTTGTTCGGTGGGGTTTTTTTGAATTCTGCTAAGAAATGTTAGCAACTTTTTATTGTTATTTGTTTAACCTGACACGTTTAGAAATAGCTTTTCCCCTTCAGGCTTGATACGATAAAGCTTCCTCATGTGGATGAGTTCCTGACCCTTAAAATGCACGTTTGTACATCCATCTTTATACAAAAAAGAGAGGAAGGTGATAAAAGTCGTATTTTCCTTCTTTTCTTAATCCTTTTTGCTTAAATAAAAATTGAGGTCCCTTAATGATAGATGAAGGCTCAAATAAATTATTTGTCAGCTTATATGCTGTAGAAATCAGCCCCTCCATCATCATTTCTACAGCGGCGGCGCTAGAAAATGCAGTACAGAGCTGCATACAGTGTTTTGTGCGGTAAGGTTTTGCATTTGTGCATACCTAGCACAACGGTAACCAGGTCCATGACAGAGGGAGTAGGTTTTGTGGAAGTATGTGGTTCCTGAAGAATAGTAATGGCAAGGGTTTGTCTTTTCAAAATTGCCTCTTCCTGCTGTGTATATTCCTCATGCAAAGTTCTCAAAATATGAGTCAGTTGGATTTAAGTTATACTGGCTCTTGTTGACGGTTTCAAAGGGACTGATTTTGATAGAACTGCAAATATGGGTAGTTGCTTATTTTTAACTTTTAATTGACTCCACATCTGAAATGAAGAACAAACTGGTGCAATGTTGGTGTTTTGCCTTTCAGTTCTAGGAAGTCTGACGCTAAATATAAAATCAATTGCTTGATTGCACAGCTCGTGCCTTCCTGCCCCCACAGCTACATCTGAAAACCTATGCAGCAGTGCGCACAACTGACAGTCCCTGACCAACCCAGAATTAATCAGTATTGTTTTGAGATGCTTATGGACATCTCGATGAAATATTTTGGCTTCCAGAAGCTTATTTGAAACTGTGGATGATTGTGTTTCAAAATAAATTACTGAAAAGCATTAAAGATTATGTAGTGGTTCAGGGTCCAAAATACTTCTGTTTTTCAAACAAAGTGGATGAGTTTTTATTGGTAGGTTATTTCTCTACAACAAAACCTCAGAAGGAAGGCAGCTCGGTATTCAATGTTAAACATGGGAAATAGTTACAAGTTTGTGAGTGTCAAAGTCAAGGGTAAGGAGTAAATTACTGAGATTCCCTGTATGGCCAAATAACACAAGGGCTCTGTATGACCACGTAACAGAAACCAGGCACAGCTAAAGATGACTCATCAGTCCTTTGCTTTACTGTTTTGCCACTGCAGAGCCTGCGAGTAAATATACCCACAAGTACTTTGGGAGTAAAATGCAATAAAAGTGCATGCAGAATGCGGTCATCCATGTGGCATGGAAAATATATTTCCACTGGAATTATGCTGAATCCTTCTTTGCAGTTAGTGCCCCAGCTTTGCAGGAGGAAGGAGAAGCAGGGCACAAATGATATCTATTTCCAGATGCAATTTTTTGAATTGCAGAGATCATATGAAGAAGACCCTATGTATGTTTGTTAAAATTTGTCAACTAATAACTTGGTTTGGTTTTGTTTTACTCAGCTGCTGGACAGCCAACTACATTGTGACGTGACTTTCAGTCCTAATAACTTTCAAGGAGGAACTCTCTTCTCGTATGTATCGGCTGCCTCCAGACAATCACTTGTAAGAGCTTGAATCCATGGACACCATGGCCCTCATCTCATTTTGAAAAACTCATAAAAACGCTGCACCTGCTCCTTTGAAATGCAGTATGTTGTTTTTTCCCTTTCTTAAGAAATTTGCAAAATATGTATGACCATGTTTGGGAAGGCAAAGCCTAAGTACTATAAAAAAAAGTCCCACCTTTCAGGTATGCTTATGATTTCCAGTCTGTTACCTTGTTCTTTTGAAAGTAATAAGAAAATACACATGCAATAAAGCTGTTTTGTTTTAATATTTCTAGGAATTAAAAAGTTTAAGTTTACAGAACCTTTATAGAATATGCCAACTTGAGCTGAGAAGTAATTTTAAGATAGTATCTAATCAGTGCATTTGAAAAACTAAACATCACAGCACGATTTCTCTGTTATAACAGAAGCTATAACTTTTTTATACAGAGACTAGTTTGATAATACATCCTGTAATTCTGAAGCATTTTGTGTTTATATTACCTTCAGTGGAGGGTAGGAGTTATACAAATAAATTATTGCATCTTTAGGGATAGGATTTTTTTGTTTGTGTACCTCAAGTAATGTTCATGACTATAACTTAATATTCTCTCAAATAAAGATTTCTTCATTAAACCTAAAGCCTGTATACCCTTAACGACGTCAAGATTCCCATTAGGAGCAATCCTTGTTACTAAGTTAAGCAGCCCGTGTTGTTATTAAACTCGATGAAAGGTGATGTGGGGGAGAGGCAGCTGAGTGGGCGGACACAGCTGAATTGTGAGCCTACGAGCTGCGGTTTGATGCTATGGTGAAACTTTTCTCTTTGGCATGTCACTTGCCCATTGACGGTCTGAGTTGGTTGGAGATCTGCTCATTCACTTGCAAACATTACGGTTGGTTGAAGTCTCATGTGGAGAAACACATGTGGTTTGGGTGCCCTCCAGAGCAGGGAATTAAATAGCCTTGAGCCCCTGTTCCTCTATACACTACCCCAATAAAGTCAGCAAACCCCAGGAGTGTGGAAAGTGGGCAGGCAGGAGGCTGGTGGCAGTAGGCAAAAAAACTTCAACTTACCTGTGTTTGGGCCAGTTTTCCTTTGTGCTGTTTGATGAAGCATCTGCACCTTTCCAAAGTGGTCCAGCAGCTCGTTGAAACAGCGGTCAGAGCTGTGTCACTTTATCTACAATACCCAGACAAGGTTAGGGGATGTGTTGCAATTGTAAAATATCCTAGGACTTTTTGGTAAACAGTTAGTGGAAATATCCCATTTTAGCAGTTCATGATGCAACTTAAAATGGAGGAAAAAGATCTGTTGATTCTGCCTTAAAACCATGATAAAAACTAAATTAATAGAGATTTGGTTTATCTATGTGCACATCCATTGTCTTTTGATGTGTTGGTAAATGGAAATGAAGTGGTTATTAGGGAAGCAATAATTTTGAGTTGTTCTCTAGCTAGCAACTATTTATTTAAATGCTAGACGGTTGCTTGCATGTGAGTTGCATACCCATGCAAAACTGCGTGTCACTGAAAACCCATGTATGGTGTTGTCATTGGAGGACATTGTGACTATCTGCCGGAAAGTTACGTGTTACTTAATATTGTGCCTTAGAAACTGCAAAGCTGTTGCACACAGTCAGCGATGACTTATGGATGCAATAAATCCAAAAAGCTGAAGTCCTTCATGGACTTCACCCGGGGAGTATTTTTAAAAATATTAAAAAAACAAATTCAGTCAAATGTTTTGGAAGTAAAAGTAATGTCCAATATTTTGATCAACCATCTGCATGATTTACTGTTAAAGGGTTTTGATAACCAGGATGCTTACTCTTTGCATGTGGTCATCATAACATTTTCCCGCAAATGATGCGTAACATGGAAATTCAAGAAGCAGATTTTATAACCGACTTTGTACATCTGTATAATTCCATGCGCTGCATTAAGGATATGTGAATATATGATGTCTGGGCCTAACTTTTAAACGAGACCTTGCATGCTCGTGTGTCTATTTGGTATGAGTCAGTTCCACTGCTTCACCCATGTGATGGAGTTTAGATGTGCCAATCGGTCCCTGAGTGTGTAAAAGGGTTGGTTGTCACAGAGGTTAGAGCTGCTTCTCATTCACGTAGGGGTAAGTGCCCAAAGGGCTTAGGAGCATGGTTGGGACTAAAATGCATGGGCGCAGGGTGGGGTGGGGGTATGCATCGCGCTGCGGACACATCACTGCCTCTCTGAAGCTGCTTAGAAATTGATCCCAGTGTCTATCGATTAGTTTCATATATGCATGTTTTAGCAAAGTTGATTGTGTGTAAAGCGAAATGAAGCAGCATTCTCAGACAACGATTTTTCCCCCTAATGAACGCCTGTTCACCAGCACAGAATAATTTTCAACAGTTTTCTAAATTGTACTTGCGAACTGCTTATGTTTAATTTTATATTTCCTTTGGAGTCTTACATGGCAAAGTCATTCAGGCTAAGATATTTTTTTTTTAATCCTTTTTTTCAGCATAAACACATAAGTATGATACATTTCTTATCAGGAACTTTGAGCACATTAAAAAATAACACTTTACATTTGGACTACAATGTAAATGTATTCGTTGCAAAAAATGTTTTATTATTGCTAAGCAAATACAATGTATGTAATGGGTTTTAGATGTTTCAGAATTTATTTAGCCTCTTACTACTTCAGAGAACCTGAACAGATGTCGTAACCCATCTATATTTCACAACCCAGTTTTCCATGGTGTATTTTTTCCTTACTCTTGCTGTGTAGTGTTACTGATGCAGTACATCTGTAGTTCTTGGTGAATGTCCTAAAGGTTGGTGAACCAGAAGGGGACCATCCTTATCTGCATGTCCGTTCAGGACAAGGATTGCTGTCCTAGCTGGGGTTAATGTTGAATACCAATTATGCTAATCTTTCCTTTATTTTATTTATTCTAAAATGCCTCTGGAAATTAGGAAAACTTGTCTAAAATGCAACAGCTTTTATAGTAAATGTATGTTTATAAATAAAATGTTGATTACCTTTGGTGGTGGTGATTTTACTTATTCTAACTAACTTCTCCTATTGCATGCAATGTGTCTGTGAAACTGGATTGCAGAGTGTGCACATCCTGTTGGTAAAAGCTTCTGCTTCACTGGGGTAGGCTGAACCAAGGTATATTCCACAAAAGTTAGTATATGAGATGAGACAATAAAAAAGACATATTTGAGATGGGACAATACCCTGTGGATCGCTACTGCAAGCTGTAGCTGAGTATTTACAAGAGCATGTGTGCCTATGGTGGTAAAAGATGAGCAGAGATGGCTCTCTGTGAGTTGAACACGAAGTCCTTGGAAGATCTTTCGTTGATGTCAGTAGACTGTGGTTCAGACTTTGACTCAATAAAGCACTTTATGTATTGCAAAGCTAAATATGTGCTTGGTTAATTCCTTTTCTACGTAGCAAAGATCCTTACATTTGTGCTTAGTTATACGTGTGCTGAGGTATCTCGCTAATTCTTAAATCTCAACGAGTGTGTGGCTTCACCAATAACCAGCGGAAAGTTCACACAAAATTTTAAACTAATAACTGCCCCTTTTTCTTCCTTTTAATTGGGTCTTCAATGGATGATGGGTTTGGTTTTGTGCCAGAAGCGCATCTCGGCTGTTAGATGAGTCATGGGGAAGTACTGACAATTCAATTTTTTGAAAGCAAATTTTATCCTGATGCCTTAATGGAAATGGTAGTGGTCTTGCATTATTTCTGTGTGTACATCTCTGGAGAGAGGGCCAGCGTTGCTCTGTGGTGGAGGAGGTACGCTGGGGTTCCCAGAGTTGGTGCCGAGTCTGCGGGAATGGCTCGCTGCCGCCGGAGGTTGCTCAGAGGCTGGATTTGGAAGCAGGAGGCAGCTGTTTCTGCTTCAGCAGCTCTGCACCGAGGTTGCTGGGCACCCAGACAAGCACGGTTTTGGTGACCGTGACACTTGTGAGCCAAGTAAAACAGTGGAAGAATCCTGGTATGATTTTTTTTTTTTTTTAGTTATTTTCTGGTGAATGTGACCTGGCAGCTCTGACTTGCCCAGAGTCATTTATGGTCCTAAAAGGGCACCGATGGGAGTGCACTCCACCAACACTGATTTAATGCCAAAATAATTCTGCACACCTTATAAAGGAGAGTCGTGTCACCTGCTTACCTCACCAGCACCTTCATCTGCAAGTAGCAGAGGCTGCCAGGAGGGGCCCGAGGGAGACCACCCTGCTAACAGGGTCTTGGCATGCCCCAGGACAGGACAATGGCTCTCCGAGCAGTAGGACGAAGCTGGGGACGTGTGGAAGAAATAGGAGGTGGTGTGGGAGAGGAGTGGGCTGTTACAACTGAGGCTCAGACATCGGGGCAGAGGATACCCCATGCAAGGGGGAATGTGTGCCAGGTCCCCCAGGAGAGCTCTGTGCTTTCACCACACCCCATCCAGGTGTGATGCCTCCTGCCCTCCCCTTTCCCCCATCGCAGCCAGGCAGGATGAGGGCTCTGTTTCCTCCTCTGCCCCCTTGCTCCGGGGTCCAACCAACCCCCTTTTTCTGCTCTTTGTTTTCTCTCTTTAGCGAGTGTTTTGATGCGGAGATGATCAGCGAACACAGCCAGGTGCTGGTAGCTGTTGGAGGCTCTAGGCACAGGTAATAAACAGCAGTAGCTTGCTCATCTCGTGAGTATTGATCCTTATCCAGACAATTCTTCTGGGGGATAGTTAAAAGCAGGCAGCTACCACTTTGTCTAGAAAATTAGCTTCAGGTACAGTTCTTGCTGCCCAATTTAGCAAAGATTTAGTCCCAGATGGATCCCCTTCCTGATAATGGGAAGCTGGTTAAGTACTTACTGAATAAACTTAGTGGAGAGGGGGCTCGCCCTGCCTTTCTCCCCCCTTGTCTCTGCTGTCCTGAGAAAAAGTTGGGTAACAGGGGATCAAGATGACAAAATGGTCATTTTCAGAGACACATCTGCAGTGAAAACCAGAAGGGTTGTGGACACTGGAAGTGAGCAGATGACCACCACTTGGCTGGAAAAAAAAAAGATGCCAGAAAAAGACATCTCCTGTAAAGGCAAACAGGACTCCTATATACCTCTAAAAGCCTCCGGTAGGAATGTAATTTCATCTGAATTTCCTGATAAGCGGAAATTACTAAACTGGAAGCTGCTCAAGTTTTGCAAGCAATAAGAGCCCAAAACCGAGATAGAAAGTATGGGGTGGGCTGTGATTCTTCTCATGGTACGGTGTGGGGTCGGTATTTTGGGGCGGTTCTGTTTTCTTGTTCATCTTTGTTATAAAATGTAGCATGAGTTAAACACACAAGAGGGATGCTTAGCTCTCTGCAAGGCTATAGCTGCTGCTCCGCAGACATTACTGAGTACCCCATGCTCTGCAAGGGTAGCTATTGGAGCTCTCCTCCCCAAAGCATATGGGTTTTTAAGCTGGGGGGGGGGGGGGGGGCGCAGGGGGGGGGGGGGGGGGCGGAATCCATTATTTAAGACAATCTTATGAGTCACTGTTAACTCATCTGTAGAGTCCATGTCCTTCACCATACATGATGCACTGCATATTCTCTTAACTAATGCCACATCCATCATTCACAGATGCATTTTTTTCTAAGCAGGT